CAAACGGTGGCAGCAATAATACTCTCAAGTGGAATGTTGTTATTTAACATTTTAATTCTTCATATTACCTGAAACAAAAACCCTGTGGTTAATTATGCTCATCGATATACTAACATTAAAGATGATGAATAAAGAATTCATGCTCGTTTCAGAACTAGATTTTGTCTTATATGGGATAAAGAGAAAATTACGTCTCTGCAAGTCATCTCTGAGTCTTGAGTTAAATATAACAATTTTATTGATAATGCATTTAATGTAGATATTAGAACATGTGAATATTAATTTTATGCAGAACAATTACTGATAAAAGTATGTTAGTTATGACAATGAAAAAGATGTTCCCCCCAGAACTCAAACCTGAAAGAATTTTGTCCACTACACCTTTAATTTAGACACGTGGATCTTTAAATATATGCGTCTATTTGTTAGAAAAGGCTGTAGGGAAGTATAGTTATTCTTTATTTAGAGAATATGGATGTTTGCTCGTTCATTTTCCTGCTGGAACAGAGTAGATTGACCGTGAGGTTCCAGCGTCTATCTGCTTTCGGCCACCCCTCAGGGTAAATTGGTTATTGCTTGGCCACCCTTATTAAAATGTTCTGGCTACGCCTCTGGCTGCAAACGACTTGAGACTGAGAATTGTGAGGAAATAGTTGAAAAAGAGTTTAAAATATCATATTTAAGATATCTGCGATGGACTGGCGACCTGTCCAGGGTGTACCCCGCCTCTTGCCCATCGACTACTGGAGATCTCGCGACCCCACTCAGGACAAGCGTCTCAGATAATGGATGGATGGATGGATATTTAAGATATTTAAGGTTCAGTATCGGGCTGCTCAATGGGGCAGTGGGTAGCACTGCTGCCTTGCAGCACGAAGGTTTCATGTTTGATTCCCGGCCCGGGGTGTTTCTGCATGGAGTTTGCATGTTCTCCCTTAGCATGGGTTCTCTCCGGGTACTCTGGCTTCCTCCAACAGTCCAAAAACATGACTGTTTGGTAAATTCTCCTTAGGTGTGAGTGGTTGTTTGTCCTGTTTGTCTCTGTGTTGCCCTGCGATGGACTGCCAGCACCCCTCGCAACCCCACACTGCAAAAAATCTAAATCTAGATAAGTCATTTAATCTAGATAAGTCATTTCTTCTTAAAATAAGTGCATTTGTTCTTGGATTGAGGAGGTAAAAGAGACATTTTTTACCTTTTAAAATAAGAAAAATCTATTGCATTGTCTTATTTCCAGTGCATGTTATCTAATGATCTTATTTTAAGAGTAAAAATGCTCATTCCATTGGCAAACTATCTCATTTACCTACTCAAATTAAAGGGATAGTTCGGTATTTTTGACATGAATCTGTATGGCATCCCCATCACCAGTGTCATGCAATAACACTGACATACCCCTGGCAGCATCCTGTGAGCAGAGTTCTCGTCCAGTTTTGGTCAAGCCGAAAGTAGTCCGGCAGGTTTGCTAGA